GGTAAAGAGGGTCTCGGATTTCTAAAGGCATGGAAAACAAAGGCTGGAAGTTATGATGAATCTTTATGAAACCTAAGTTCAGCTTCAAATGAAATTGAATTCCAACACTTTAGGAACAGTTTTGGACAGGATGCAAAAACAATTTGTGAGAAAGATCCCAGGGATGAAACTTCAATTATGAGGACAGACTGGTGAAATTGAGGCTGTTCTCTTTAGAAGTGAAGATTGAGAAGACCTTCGACGTAGGTGTTCAAAATCATGAGGTGTCTGCACAGGGTAGTTAGAAAGAAACTGGTGTCATTGACAGAAGGATCAGAACAGACAATGCAAATTTAAAGTGATTGGCAAAAGAAATAGAAGCTACAGTGAAAAGGCAAGAAAGTGGGGCCAGCTGTACAGTTCTCACAGACAGACAGCACAGACATGACAGGCTGAACAACCTCTTTTTATACTGCACAATGATTCTATTTTCCTCATAGGTGCAAAAAATCCTCTTTATGGTTTTTAGCATACTAAGTTTTTTTTAAAACTTCTGGCATTTTTCTAAGTATAGATGAGTCAGATGGAATTTTTACAGTAACATTTTAAAATGCATATTCACATATTAATATACATTCTGTAATAGCTACACAAGGTCAACCCTAGAACAGTGAAACCATTAGCTTAATAAATATCCATAAGAAAAGATTGAGATATATCATAGATAGTAGGAACTGGCAGATGCTGGAGAATCTGAGATAACAAGGTGTAGAGCTGGATGAACACAGCAGGCCAAGCAGCATCAGAGGAGCAGGAAGGCTGACGTTTCGGGCCTAGACCCTTCTTCAGAAAACTCAGTCAAACAGACAGAGAAATATTCTTGTATGAACAGGCTTATATTTTGAAAATACAGGCCCAAGAAAAGGGGAAGATCAAAATTGATACATATGGTTTTTCATCACTGAATAACAAATGTTATTTGTTGACTTGTCGAAGAGAAATTAACTAGGCTAAGGATGAAGGCATTAACATTGTTTTATCACATTAGGAGAATATAATTAAACATTAAAAGGAGTTGCTAGGTGATTTTAAATCTCACTTTGCTACTACTAGCATAAACAGTCAAAATTACACATTTTTAATCACCTAAAAGGGTCCTTGAGATGTAATTTACAATACAGTATTATAATGCGCACAAATACCTCTTATAAACTGCACAAAGGGATTGTGTTGCATTAACTCATTGTCGTAATTTAGTAAAAAAAATTACTCTGGTGTTTCAATGTTTTCTCATCATTGAACGTGTAGTCAATGTTCAGGATATATCACAATAACTTAAAATGCTTTTATACAAGGTCAATAGGGATATTTGATGTTTCTCTGTATTCATTCATGCGATGTGGGCATCTCTGACTAGGCTTGAATTCATTTCCAATTCCTAATGCCTCTGAGAAGGTGGTGATGAGCAGCCTTTTTAAACCACTACTTGGGATGTAGATATACCCACGCAGCTAAAAGGAGGGGAGTCCAGGATTTTGACCGAGCAGCAGTTAAGGAACAGGATGTTGTTAAGTTAGAATGGTGTGTGGATTGGTGAAGAATTTGAAGGTGGCGGTGCTTCCATGCATCTGCTGCCTTTCTCCTTCCAGATGAGATGAAAGGTTTGAGAGGTGCTGTTGATGGAGCATCGGTGGGCTGCTGTAGTGCACTTTTTAAGTGGTACACACTGCTGTCACTGCACGTCAGTGCTGGTTGGATTGAATGTTGAAGGATATGAGTGGGGTTTCAATCTTGTGGGTCGCTTTGCCCTGAAAGCTGTTGAGCTACTCAAGTGTAATTGGAGCTGCACCAATTCAAGGAAGTGGACAGCCTTCCATTATACTTCTAACTTGAACTTTATAGATGGTGGAAAAGCTTTGTAAAGACAGTAGGTGAGTAACTTCAGTAAGGCATTGGATAAGGTTCCCCATGGTAGGCTGATGGAAAAAGTGAGGTCGCATGGGGTCCAGGGTGTACTAGCTAGATGGATAGAGAACTGGCTGGGCAACAGGAGACAGAGAGCTGTAGTGGAAGGGAGTTTCTCAAAATGGAGAACTGTGACCAGTGGTGTTCCACAGGGATCCGTGTTGGGACCACTGTTGTTTGTGATATACATAAATGATCTAGAGGAAGGTATAGTTGGTCTGATTAGCAAGTTTGCAGATGACACTAAGATTGGTGGAGTAGCAGACAGTGAAGGGGACTGTCGGAGAATGCAGCAGAATATAGATAGATTGGAGAGTTGGGCGGAAAAATGGCAGATGGACTTCAATCCAGTCAAATGCGAGGTGATGCATTTTGGAAGATCCAATTCAAGAGCGAACTATACAGTAAATGGAAAAGCCCTGGGGAAAACTGATACATAGAGAGATCTGGTCCATTGTATCCTGAAGGTGGCAACGCAGGTCGATAGAGTGGTCAAGAAGGCATACGGCAGGCTTTCATTCATCGGACGGGGTATCGTGTACAAGAGTTAGCAGGTCATGTTACAGTTGTACAGGACTTTGGTTCGACCACATTTGGAATACTGCATACAGTTCTGGTCGCCACATTACCAAAAGGATGTGGATGCTTTGGGGAGGGTGCAGAGGAGGTTCACCAGGATGTTGCCTGGTATGGAGGGCGCTAGCTATGAAGAGAGGTCGAGTAGATTAGGATTATTTACATTAGAAAGACGGAGGTTGAGGGGGCACCTGATTGAGGTCTACAAAATCATGAGAGGTATAGACAGGGTGGATAACAAGAAGCTTTTTCCCAGGGTGGGGGACTCAATTACTAGGGGTCACGATTTCAAGGTGAGAGGGGAAAAGTTTAAGGAAGATATGCGTGGAAAGTTCTTTACGCAGAGGGTGGTGGGTGCCTGGAATGCGTTGCCAGCGGAGGTGGTAGAGTCGGGCACGATAGCGTCATTTAAGATGTATCGAGACAGATACATGAATGGGCAGGGAGCAGAGGGATACAGATCCTTGGAAAATAGGCGACAGGTTTAGATAGAGGATCTGGATCGGCGCAGGCTTGGTGGGCTGAAAGGCCTGTTCTTGTGCTGTAATTTTCTTTGTTCTTTGTTTTTTGTTCTAACTCACCACAGAAACTTTGGCCTCTGACCTGCTCTTTTAATCACATTTATATATCTGCATCCGTACAGTTTATGATCAATGATAATTCACAGATTCTTAATACTCGGAAAATTCAGTGAAAATCATTTAAATGTCTAGAGTAGACATTTGCCTAGTACTTATGTGGTACAAATGTTAATTGCCACTTACCATTCCAAGCCTAGAGTCATCCATGGAATATGGACATGAGTTGCTTCAGTACCTGAGGATGTACAATGCTGTACATTGTGCAATCATTAGTGAGCATCCTCACTTCTGACCTTATTGCAAAGAAAATATCATTGTTGAAGCAGCTGAGGAGGGTTGGGCCAACGACACTACACTGTGGAAGTTCTGCAGTGATGGCCTGGGATGGGACAATGGGCTTCCAACAATCATAACCATCTTCCTTTCTGTTGGGTAGGAATCTAAACAGTAGACAGTGTTTCTCCCTGGGTTCCCATTTACTTCCATTTTTATTAGAGCTCCTTGATACTGTACTTCATCAAATTCTACCCTAATATCAAAGGCAGTCAACTCTGGGTTTCTGTTCTTTTATCCATGTTCAGACCAAGGCTGGAATAAAGTCAGGGGTTGAATGGCCCGAGCAAAATAAGGTATTGCTGCATGAGCAGGTTTCTACCAAATGTCCTCATATAAACACAAAATTGTTATTCCTGTTTTAGAAGATAAAAAGTCCATCAGGCAGCATTAAACAAGAGACGTGGGGGGGAGGGGCTCGGAGGTCTGAGATATGCCTGCCTACAGGCCCATGTAATCTGGTGCAATTGGTACAGGAGAGCAAGTAAAGGCTTAGTCGGTTGATAGCTTTAAAACTTGGACACAAAGTGAGAAGTTGCTAGCTTTTCCACATGTAAACACAGGCACCTGGATTTTTGTGGAATGTGAAGACTTCAAAATGGTGGTTGCAGCCTGATCAAAATTTCACCCACATATCTGACAGAAATCACTTTAATCGGAGTCCCTTCATCCAAGTTATTCATATAAACTGCAAAAAGGTTGAGGCCTCAGCACTAATTCATGTGACACACTACTTGATAAATCTTGCTAAGGAGAAAATTGCCCAAGAATGCTTACTTTCCGTTTCCTGTTAGCTAGACATCGTTCTGTGCACACCAATATGTTATTCCTACACAATGAATTTTTATTTCCTGCAATAATCTTTGATGCAATACCTTATCAAATGTCTTCTAGAAGTCCAATTACAAAATTGACACCAGTTGCCTTATCTATGCCACATGCTACTTCCTCAAAAAAGTCCAATAAATTGATAATACCTGGCTTCCATTTCACAAAACTATGTTGACTGTGCTTGGTTGCCTTGATTCTTTTCAGTGTGTCTGGCTGTATCATCTCTAAGCACAGTTTCTAACATCTGTTACCGATAAGATGTTGACAGAACTGGCCTGCAGGTTCCTACTTTCCACCTCCCTAACATTTTGAAGAAAGAAGTTACATATCCACATTAAGACATTGTGAGGGGAAGATCTTTTCTGCAGTTTAGCATAATGATTGGCTCTCATGCAAGTTTAGTCAATGTTGATTTAACTTTTCTACAGTAAAATTCTTCAGACGTGAAGACTTGAGTGAGCCATCGAATTTGTCAGGAAGCTCATTTCTGTTTACAAAGCAATTGGACTCCTTGGGGATTCTAACTTTTTGGAGAGACAAGCAAGATGCATGCCAATCTTTGTATGGAAAAAGGTAGCATTTATTAATTCATTAAACGTTATCAAGAATGCACATTGAACATTATTGGAAAATATGCTCAATCACAAGTATCAAATTGCAGCACTCTGCAAAAATAAGAGGAACTGCAATTTCAAACTTTATAATTACGTCTTTCAAACAGATGCAATTACAAACCTGCACAAGAGCTCTGTCTTTCTCCAAACTTGTCAACATTTTTTGCTTTATTGCAGTATTGTATTTCTCTTTGATCCTGCTCAGGGTAGGTTCAAAGGATTCATAGTGCTTCTTAAGCCTAGAAGATCACAAACAGATCATTAGAAGATAATATCTGAAGCAGGATCACAAATAAAGCTTTCAGCTCCCAAACGTCCTGTGGGTAATATATACTGAAATATAACTAGGAGCATACTCAAAATTGGATTTTCGGCTTTGATTCTCGGAAAACAGAAAAGAAATGAAGGCCAAAGGTTGAATACCAACACAAGAAAAGTTTTAAAATTGCCGGTGAATTCCAAACAAGTGCAATTATAAAACACTGAAGTCAAAACCGTTCAGACGTGTCAACAGATTAATGGAGATTATGTTCCAATGACTACATGAGTCAACATATTTATTTTGCATTACTTTCAAGCATGGTGACTTAGAAAAGTTTTCACTACTACAACGTATTCTTCTGAGGGATTTTACAGGTATTTGTAACTTCATCAAAAAAACAGTCCCATCTAATTGATCAAACAGGACTTAATTCCCAAACATGCAAGGTATATTCAGTAGCTATTAGCTGTCATTGGATATATCCTGCCCTATCAGCAGGACAGACCATCATAGGTCGTGATACAATGGTATTCATTTGGATGGTGATGCCTTGGGAGTCCTTAAAATTGATTCTAGGCTGTATGAAGTTTCCTTTTGATTTTATTGTCACAGGTATTTTAAACAAAGATTACAATAAAATACAGTGAAAACTGCACCATTTTGAATAATTTAAGAATAAGGAAAAAAAGAAAGCTGCATCTTGAAGGGAGTTTATCAGTCCTAAGCCAGTTCATCATCATCAATGAAGCCTGCACTGCCTTCCCTGCACCACCGCTTTGCCACTGTATACACCAGAGCCCACCAACATCAAAGTTGCCGACCCTCAGGTGCCATCTTTGCTACTGGGCCAAAACTCCTCTGCCACTGCCTTGCCACTGCCCACGCTGGACCAATCAACATCAGAGTCACATCTCTTGCCACTGGGCCCACCTCATCAATGTTGCCATGATGCCCTTCTGCCAACGCTTCACCCCTGCCAGCATTGACCCAACCAACAATAAAGCTGTCGATCCTCAATCGCCTCTGCTGATGCAGCATCCACCAATTCTTGGTCCTGTGCTTGCTCCGGAAAAGTAAGTAGGGGCTCACCCTCCTCTGCACTGGGCCTGTTTGAGGTCCACGCCAGGCCCGCCTGAGGTCCGCACCCTGGACCCAGCTCGAGACCTCTCAAGGTCCACGCCCCGGATCCGCTTGAGGTCTGCACACAGGGCTCTCACCACTGCCAATGCTATCTAAGCTTAGGACAAGGTAAGTAAGTGAAAAAAAAGAGACAGGAGTAAAAAGGGGAAAGAAAAAGAACTTGGAGCTTGGAAGAAGCACTAAGGGTTGCACACAAAATGGAGTACTTCAATGTCCATTAACTAAGTATGGCTTGGTCGCATATCACTGTCCAAGCTGGCAGGATCTACCAGACAGAGCATGAGTTCAGTGCTCAGAGAATCAACATGACTGAAAAAGCTACTTATCCTGACCAAGCTACCTGTTGCAAATGTATCTGATGATGATGCATCAATAGGAGTAATACCATTGACTTATGTTGAGACCAAGTTGCATCTTTACATTCAGGATAACTTCTATCATGTTATGTAGCTCTACTGCCAGTTCAATGGAATAAATTCAGAACAGACCCAGCAGCTCAACTGACGAGGTACTGTGAGCCATCAACCCACAATCTGTGACATTATGCCCCACATATCTCTCACTCCACTGTAACTATCAAGTCGAGGAATCAACGACTTTTCAAGAAAGAGTGCAGGACAACATGTTAGGAGCTGCATAAATACATGCATGATAAGCAGCAAAAGCAACATACATATCTCAGCAAGGGACCCAGCAATCTCTTCCCTAGCTTCCCACAAAGTTCTGAGCTACACCTGATCCTGGGATTTATCTACCTCCTTTTCTGTAATAGGCACACATTTCATGGTATCACTATTTATTACCTTAAGTTCTTCTATATCCTTCTCCACAATAAATACCGATGAAAATTTCTCATTTAGTATCTCACCCATCTCCTGTGGATCAACACATAGACAGCCTTATTGATCTTTAAGGCACCCTATTCTCTCCCCAGTTACTCTTTTGCCCTTCATGTATTTGTAGAACCTCTTTGGATTCTCCTTAATCCTATTTGCTAAAGATATCTCATGTCCCCTTTTTGTCCTCCTGATTTCCCTGTTAAGTATACTCTGCTGCTCTTATACCCTTCTAGAGATACCATCAATCCAAGCTGTCTACACCTGATGTATACTTCCTTCTTTTCCTTGACAAGAGCCTCAATTTCTCTTGTCATCCAGCCTTTGCCTTAGCACTCACAGGAACATACTATCTCTGAAGTCTTGTTATCTCATTTTTGAAGGCCTCCCACTTTCCAAACATCCCTTTACCTGCAAGTAGTCTCTGCCAATCAAGTAGACGTATTGAGTAAAGGGACACAGGGAGTTATCCTAAGCTTTTATAAATCACACATGTACAATTCGGTATTAAGTATCAGCTGGCATAGTGTGTCCAATTTAGACACCATATTTAAGGAAGGGACTCCTGCAAATCAGCAGTTTAGTACATTATTTCTTCACAGGAACACAATCATTTCCATTCTCATTCAGAGATGCTTTCTAATTTACCAAGATGCTTAAATCTTTGCAGATTGAATTCCATCTGCCATTTATAAATTACCCTATTAGAATTCCTTTGCAATTTTCTTCGGACTTCTCGAAAATTAACTGTATATCCTATCTTTGTATGGTCTACAAATACTATCACTCCAACATCCGAGGCCTGTATCCTAATGAGTGACATACACAATAAGTAGAAATGGCCCAAGAAACGAACCCAAGTTTCTAGTAATCTTCCAAATGATACCTTATCAAAGGTTTTTCAAAAGTCCATGAACTCAACATCCCGTCCCATCAACATTACAGCCAATATTAACTAACTTTCAGCTGTATGAAGCCAATTCACTTACCCAACGAAAAATTGTGTTGATGCTGAAGAAAAACTTTCAAGGAATACTACTGCTTTGAGTGCATTTATTTTATCAATTTGTTTTAACCATGTGCTCTGAAAAGAAATCCCAAAGGAGAAAGGACAGGTATTTTGTTCACATTAATTTGAGTATCCAAAGATCAAGATTCTAACTGTCTTATCAAAATCCTAATTGCTCTATTTCCCAGAGCCGTCCCTACACAGAATATTAACATTATCTATTGACCATTTGCTCCAAGTTGCCACAAAAAAAATCTTTTCCAGTCCAGGTACAGGCTGGCCCAAAGGGTATGCAGGATGTACATACAAAATAAAATTTAAGACCAGAACAAAACATTTTCTATTTCATGTAAATGCCAAAGGATATAGGCTTGGAGCTTTGTATCAAAACTGGAAATATTCTTGGCTCAAGGTGCCAACCTCAGGAGAAGCAGTCTCAAATGGTCTGATATCAAGGGGTGGGTGCCCATTGAAATGTGGCCTGTTGTTCCCAGAAACAATTTGGAGGCAGCTACACAGTCAACCAAGTGCCGAAGCAGGCCATTTAAAAGGACCACATTGGTGTTCTGGAACAATCATAATAAAGTAGGACAGTCCACCCCCTCCTACCGACTCAAACCCCATAGCCAAACCATGCAAAGGCGTCCATCCATGCACATCCCTTTCCATACCATTTCACATGGCCCCTCATATCCTCTATGCTCCACTACCCACCCCAATAATAGCCCTCTGTAATCCTTATGCCAACTTAGTGCCAACCTATGTCAACAAACGAACCCCAAACTATCTCCATGGCCCCAAAGCCACCTGAATGTAAACACATGACTCCCCACTCATTCTCAGGCTCCATTTGCCATTTACGTCAACTTACTGCCAAATAAGGCCAACCCACGATACCTTACTCACCCCATGATCCCAACAACTCCAATGTCAACTTTGTGCCAACATTATCTCAACACTTTCCTCTTGAACTCTGCTTTTGCACCATCAATATCAACTCATCTAGAACCAAGTATGGGCACACTCCAGGAGGCACGTTGTTTGAAATATCAGTATAGACTTCACAACAAAAAAACAAAACGATAAAAGATCAATCAATTCATCTTAGTACTTAATACCTTATCAAACAAACATTTGTACTTAAGGCCCAATATTGAAGACAGCTAATCCCTTAATAAGCTCTCTTATTTTATGCAGGATGGCGGTGGAGTAGGACACTCCAGCCAGAGCTCACTCGCTCCACCCAAAACTCATCCACTCCACCCAGTCTTCTCCTTCTTTTCTCCTCCTTTTATCCTCAGTGCTTATTTTCCTTCTTCTCTCCTGGCCTCCGACAACTCCCAGCCTCCAGCAACAATTCCCGGCCTCCCAACCTGGTGCAGCTGCCTCCCAGCATGGCATGGCAACCCGCAGGCCTGGTGCAACAGCTTCCCAATGCAGCCACATCCCAGGCTGGCACAGAGGCCTTCCATAGCAGCCTCCTGGTGTGGCATGGCGACCTACTAGCCTGATGTAGTGGCCTTCCAGTGTGGCAGTCTGAAGTGATCTCCCAGCCTCATGATCCTCAAGGTGAAGCGTGCCGCAGTCTGGAGCCACGGCAGTCTGGAGCCACGGCAGACTGGAGGCTAGCTGCCAACGTGGTCTGGAATGGAAGACCGTTGCTCTGGACTTTTATTTCTGTAATGCTGGACTTTCTATTTAGGTATCTTTATACCTAAGTGGCACTGTAAGTGGTGACATATGAACTTTTAACTACACTCATTGAATTTACATGACAATGAAGGCTAATTTTAATTCTAATTCTGTGCTGTCAATAAAATTGTGAAATTTCATGCCTCTGACTGAAATAATGATAGACTGTGGAAGCAATTAAACAGTAAGTATATAGTAACAATTGCCCTCAGATTTACATCCACAAACAGCTATTGAAACTCTAAGCGTTTTTTTTGAGATCAGAGACACAGTAGAGCTGTGTTTATCAAAATTTAAAAT